TCCATCACAGGTGTGCTAAATCCATTTCCTCTCCAGGGCGGAGCTCTTTGCAGACAAGGATTTTAAAGTCTGTGTGTGAGGAGGCTTCTGGCTTCCTTGTCCCTGCTGGGGGCCGAGGCCCAGGTCAGCAGGCCTTGGCCAGGTGGGTGGACAGAGGGGCAGCCCACAGGCTCCCTGGGCTGTGCGGGTGCCCATTGGGAGCCCGGGCCAGCTGAGCTTTGTCTGGGCAGATGGTAGGAGAGTTCTGCTGATGAAGATGAGGTCCCTGCCTCCTGCTGAATGTGTGTGTCAGCGGAATTCTTTTCTTCTTTTTATTGCCTCCGAGACATATGCTGACTTGGTCAAAATCGCTTAGGCAAGATGTGACTGATGATGTATGAAATGAAAACTCCTTGCCCAGTGCTGGGAGGCCAGCAAGAGAGGGGTGCGGACACTCCACCGGGGCGGGCCAGACAATAACGCCCCTCACATTTCCAGACCATCTTTCATCCAGCGGAGCGGGCCCCAGGTGTGGATCAGACTGGGGCAGATCCGGTTACAGCCCAGGAGTCCAGTGCTGGGTGCCTGGGCCTGGGGAACCACAACTGGGGGTGAGTGGGTGGGTGGGAGACTGGCTGCTGGGGGAAATGGGATAGGCCCTGGGGAGCTCCTGGGCCCTGGATGGCATGGGCGGGGGGGGGGGGGGGGGGAGTGGCTGGGGGACAATGAGAGGACGGAATGTAAGGATTTTCCTTTCACCTCTAATTCCACTCAGCTGCTTTGCCTGCTCGCTCACTCAAGCTGGATATCCCAGAGTCAGGATAAATGTGCTTTTCTCTGCTTGGCCAAAAAGCAGACCATATGAAACACTTGTTGTTATTCTTAAACTTAGGAGGCTTTCCTGTTAACAAGTTTTCCTTTTCATACAGATGCTGGCTAAGGTTTATCAAGTGCTTCCTCTGTGCCCCAGGCACCTTGCAAAGTCCTTTATGTGAATTGAATTAAATTCTGAGTCCTCACAGCAACCCTAGGAGACAGGCAGTATTAGCCCTCTCTTCCCCAGTTGTACAGATGGGGGAACTGAGGCACAGAGAGGTTAAATCCTTGGCACACAATTGCAAGTGGCATGGTTGGAGTGTGAAACAGGTGGGCAGGCTGCTGTCTTGCACCCAAGACTTTCTCTAAACAACCGTGAAGCCTTTGCTGTGGCCTCAGCTCTCAGAGCAGCATCTGATGTAATCTCAACCAGATAGTTCCTGCCTGCATGTTTGCATTCATTCATTCATTCATTCATTCAGCAAGCATTCACTGAGGGGCTGATTTCTTGGGAACTCCTTTGGGGGAGAAAGAAGGGAAAATTAAGAGCCCATCCCTCCCCCAGCATGGGTCACAGAAAAGATAAGGCTAAATAGGGGGCTCTGGGTGTACAGGGGAAATCTTATCTCTTCTAGATCTCAAGTATGGAGAGCACGTTGTGGCTTCATCTTTTGGGAGAAAAGATGGCTTCTTAGAGGAAGGATGGTAGGGCAAGGGGACTGAGAGATGCCTTAGCCTGCACAGTCAGTCCACAGGCTCTTAGGCATTGGCTGTGCTTATTACTATTCATTCAGCAGGTCCTTATTGAGCAATTGCTGCTTTCCAGGCTCATGTGGGGTCAGGTGAGTGCACAGAGGGGTCCTTCCTTCAGGGCCTTCACAAGGTTGAAGGGGGACGGGACAGATGCTGACCAATCAGCTACTGTATGCAAATTGGTAGTAACAGTACCTGGCACCTCCTACCATGTCTCCTTGTTTATTTCATCCTGTCACTTACCACAGGCTGAAATGATCTGGGCTGCATACTCTCCAGTGAACACTGCATGCCACTGGCACTCCTCTGCCGGCCTCAGTAGGCCTCTTCATCCACATGCCTACCCCTGGTCTTTACTCCTTGACCCTCCTGTGTGCCCCACTCCCCCGGGCTCCAGCAGGTAAGCATGCCACCCCCTTCCCTGAGAGAATCCATGGACAAGCACAGCCTCCTGTCCTACCTCAAACCATACTTAGGTTCTTGCTTTGTCTCCCCTGACCTGAAAACCAGCTCTGTGGTGGAGGCCACTATGTGAACTCACTGCTGCACTCTCCAACCCAGCTCTATGCCTGGCACTGAGATGGTCCGCATGACTTTCAGGGTCCAGGACAAAATGAAAAACGGTGGTGGTGGTGGTGGTGGGGGGGCTTGTTCATAGGTTATAAAGAACTAGAAGCCCGGTGCTTGATATTCATGCATGGGGGAGGGGGTCCCTCAGCCCGTCCTGCACCCTCCCCAATCAGGACCCCATAGGGGATAACTAGCAGTTGAACATCCCTCTCACAGTCTCAGACCGCTGGTTCCTAACTGCTCACATGCTTGCTGCCTGATTGCCCCTATCACTCTGCCTGCCTGCCTGATAACCCTAACTGCCCCCTGCCTGCCTGATTGCCTCTAACCTCTCTGCCTGCCTGCCTGATTACCCCTAACCGCTTCTGCCTGCTGGCCTGGTCGTCCCTGCCTTCCCTGCCAGCTTGGTTGCCTCTGACGGCCTCTGCCTCGGCCCTCACCACAATGACTTTGTCCGGAAAGACGTCCTGATGGATGTCTGGAAGACATCTGGTCTAATTAACATATTACCCTTTTATTAGTATAGATTGTAACATGGCAACAGCAGAGCATTAAGCCCATTGAGGAGCCCTTCTGAGTGTGGGGGCCTGGGCACCTATATGGGTTGCAAACTCATGAAGCCTACTCTGCCTGACACCCAGGAAGTGCTCGACATCTGTGCTAAGAGAAAGAGTGATGGAAGGTGCCTTTCAGAGTGCTTTGACTGACAGGAGGGCAGAAGGTCAGCCCTGGGCGTTGGATTTAGGGTTCCTTCTATCTCACAGCCTGGGGGGAAGGGAGACTATGCAGCAGGGCTTGTCTGTGTGATATGAATGACTACGACCTGCAGCCTTGCATTCTCTTCTCTTTGCCTGGCTCTGGCCTCTCCTATGTCCACCTGTGTGGGCCTGCAGGTTGCCATCTTTTCCCAAAGTCCCTAAGGGATTCCTGGCAGAAGTACCTCTGCTCCAGAAAAGTGACGAGACCAGGTTCCTTTGTCCAGCTCTTAGAGCTTTCTCTTGGACAAGGTGAAGTTTTCCCAAAGGAAACCCCATCCCCAAACTCAGCCCTTCACTTTTCATCCCAAATGCCCTGAGCTGACATTCTGTCTAGCTTCTTACATGGACACACTCAGTGTCACCCTGGTTTGCAGTTTCCTCTGGGACAGCCCTTTGCCCACACTTCTCACTGCCACTCTGGGCAAAGAGTTATTTTCATCCCATTTTTATTGATCAAGAAACCAAGGCTCTGAAGAGCATCAGTTCCCTGAAGGTCCCATAGCAGGTTCTGAGTTGTTGGGGAGTCTGTCCCTGGTGGGACTCTGCCTCTCAGTGGGTGCTCACTATGGTGTTTGTGGGATGAACAATGAGGGGAGGAGAGAAGGGAGATCAGCGAGGTCCCAGGCACAGCCCCTGGGAGGTGAACTAGATGCAGACTGGATGTCAGGCAGGGGCTGATGGGGAAGGTTGGACAGTGGTGGGCCTGGGTCCCTGATCTCAGGCTGAGGCATGGCCGGGAACAAACAGAGCCCAAACGGGGAGGAGGTGGGGAGGAATTGTCCAGCTCACACAAGTTCATTAATTCATTTAACAAATGAATGTGCAGCCACAGTGGCTGCCAGGCCCTAAGTTCAAGGTGCTGTGGGTACAGGACAACCAAGAAAAGCATCAGCCTGGGCCTCCTGAGTGATTCATTTCCAGTGGGGGAGGCAAGACAATAAAGAAAGCACGGATAACTCAAGCAGTAATTCCAGATGGTGGGAGGAGTTACAGAAAATAAAACAAGTGTGTGGGAATGAGCAGGGAAGTGACCTTAGCTGTCTGTGCTGGTCTTTGGGAGGAAGTGGCACCTGAGTGGCACCTGGAGGAGAGCCAGCTAAGTACTGATGAAGGTAGTGGGGGAGGAATCAGGGTAGGAGGGGATTCTTGGCGGAGAGAATGGCAAGAGCAAAGACAAACGTGACCAGTAGGAGAGACACCTGAGGGGTCAGAGTGGAGTACGTGGGGGCACAGCATCTAAGGGCTGGCGGATCCCTCCTTTGGGGAGCCTTCACAGACTAGCGCACCACCCACACTCCCCCAGCTCCTTCCACCTAGGTCTGAATCCCACGGTCCGCGCAGACTGCCGGCGCGGAGAGGGGAGGGCCAGCCCGGATTCTTTCCTCCGCACCCCCGTGGCGCCGGGCCCGGCGCTGGGCACCCCGGGGGCACTCGGTAAATATTTGTAGAGCTCTCCAGAAGGAATGAATGAACCCATTGGGCGCAGCTGGGGGGGAGGGCGGGGCCGAGGGCAGGTGGGAGGCCGCGGGCGCGGGAGGGGCCCCTGGAAGCCCGTCCTCCTCCTCCTCCTCCTCTTCCTCCTTCTCTCAGGCCCCAGCGCGTACCACTCTGGGGCTCCCGAAGCGGCTTCACCAGCGATCAAGGGCACGCGGGCCCTGGAGAGCGACCTGGGGCCCCTGCTCTCGGCGCTGGAGTGGGAAAGAGGGAGGTTCGCCGCCGCCCGAGGGCTGGAGCGCGAGAGGAGCGGGAAAAGGAGCGCTCGCCCGCCGCCGCCTCGCCGCCTCCCCGGCGGCGCTCGCTCACCCGGCTCCTAGGGTTGCTGGCTGCTCCTCCCACCCGTGCCCGCCTCCTCGCTGCTCCTCGCTCCAGCCGGTTTCCAAGCCGTTCGGTGCGCCCGGGCGAGTGCGGGGCGAGGGGCCCCAGGGCCAGCGCCGAGCCGGGGGAGGGGATCCGGGCTGAGAACAGGGGGGCGGGGAGGGGCCATGTCCGGCGCGGGCGCCGCGGGACCCGTCTGCCGCAAGTGACCGAGCGGCGGGGACCGCCGCCTGCTCCCTCCGCCACCTGGGGCGGCGCGGGCCCCGGTGCCGGGCGCCCGGAGCCCCGGCCGCGCGTCCAGCCGGCGCGATGCACGTGCGCTCGCCGCGCGCCGCGGCGCCTCACAGCTTCGTGGCGCTCTGGGCGCCCCTGTTCCTGCTGCGCTCCGCCCTGGCCGACTTCAGCCTGGACAACGAGGTGCACTCCAGCTTCATCCACCGGAGCCTGCGCAGCCAGGAGCGGCGGGAGATGCAGCGCGAGATCCTCTCCATCTTGGGCTTGCCCCACCGCCCGCGCCCCCACCTCCAGGGCAAGCACAACTCGGCGCCCATGTTCATGCTGGACCTGTACAATGCCATGGCGGTGGAGGAGGGCGGCGGGCCCGACGGCCAGGGCTTCTCCTATCCCTACAAGGCGGTCTTCAGCACGCAGGGCCCCCCTCTAGCCAGCCTGCAAGACAGCCACTTCCTCACCGACGCCGACATGGTCATGAGCTTCGTCAACCTAGGTGAGTGCGAGCAGGCCGGCCCGGAGGCGCTTTGGAACGGGGAGGAGAGGGGGTCACTTCTCACCCCCCCCCCCCCATCTTTCCCCCTGGCCTTTTGCAGATCGTAGATTCTCCTACCCCCGGGTCCCTGTGGACCTCACGCGGGACGTGCCAGGTATGGTGAGCCAGGCCCTTTTGGCCGGCAAGAGTTTGGGGAAGAGAAGGACTGGTCCGCAGGCTCCTTCGGGTTAAGCTGGCGGCGGTACCTCCGGGGCTGGAGGCGCCAGGCGGCCGCGGCGCAGTTCAAAGCGCGGGGCGGTCATGTGAGCTGCCGGGCCGGCGGCCCGCGCTACCTGGATTTAAAGGGCCCCGCTCGGCGGAGCCGCCTCCCGCCCGCTCCGGGCCCTCGCAGTCCCGCCCGGCCCCGGCGTCGCGGGCGGCGCGCCCCCTTCCTCGCCGTGGCAAGCCCTACCCTACCTGCCGGCCCGCGGAGCGCCCGCCCCTCCCGCCGCGCGCCCGGAGCGCCTCGGGGCCCCTCTCCCGGCCGCCGGCGCTCCCTCGCTTTCCGTTCTCCGGGCTGGAGCTGGGGGAGAAACGTTGCCATTGCGAGCTTTCTATTTTAAATATTTAATGATAGGTCCTGGGAGGGCAGGACCCATTTTCAGCGTTTATCACATGTGGCGGGCAAACCACGGCTTTGGGCGATTGGATGGCGCGGGATCTCCGAGCAGACGCTGCCCGGGGCGGCGGGGGACCCGGCTCCGGACCGGAGCCGCGACGGCCCGGGAGACCCGGGGCTGGAACTGGGGCTGCGGCGGCGCCGGCTCCTCCTTCTGTGCGCGCACACTCCCCAGACCTGCTCAAACTAACCCCCGGCAGCGCTCCGTAGGGCTGATGATCAAATATTTGGTTTCCGAGATAACACGCCCCGAGAGCGCTGTTTCCTGAGCCGCTTTCATTCTACATGTGTAACTTGCTGCGAAAACCCGAACCCAGTCAAGACATCAAACTCACGCCCAGGGGCGCTGTGTCAACATGGAAATAATGATACTCGAGCCCCCCGCCGGGCCCTGGGGGAGTGGATGGAGGGCTGGGGGAAGCCCGGTTCCACCTTAATCCTTCCCCCTTTAGATAAGGTCCCGGGGGTTCCCGGAATACCATTGTCTGTCCTTAATAACAGCCAAAAGTCAAACAGTGAAACGAGTCCCTGCGAGCAAGGGGCGGGAGGTTTAGATGCCAAAATAATTTCAAGAAAGTTTAAATTATATTAAGCAGCCTGTTAGAAGGAGGCAGCGCCATATGTCCTAATTTAAGACAATCTCCAAGATGTATGAGGTGGAAAAAAGCAAGGTGCAGATCAGTGGGGTTACATAATGTGCTTGTATATCATCCCTTCCCACTGGAAGAAGACGCCAGGAACTGGAAATAGATTTTACTGGGGCGGTGGGGTGGGGTTGGGGGTGGGGGCAGGGCTGGGGCTGGGGCTTAGGGAGTATAAGCTGAGGTTTGATCTTCCATCGTCTGCCCTTGTGTCTGTGATTTTTTTGAAATGTGTATTTATGACCTATACCAGAAACTAAGGAAGAAATTCCAAATACAAGTAAATAAGTAAAATAGAGCAGAGCCGTGTAGCTGTTCTGAAGTCGGGGTAACCAGGCCCCTTGCTCCGGCTGGGATTTATGGCATCCCCTTCTGTGTTCTCCTGGGTGTGGGGGGTCTCCCAGTGGATGCAGCAGGTCCCAGGGCTGCCTTCAGACACCCGGCTGGGGCCATTAAAGTATTTGTAAGCCCTGGTTTTGCAAACCCTGTGCAAAAAGTACCCAGTAGCAGGGCCAGACCTGGGCACCCTACCCCCTCATTGGAGAAGGACTAGGTTGCCAACTGGGTGCCCCTGGGGATCTTAGGGCAGGGCTGTTGGCTCCCCTTGATGGTGGGAGCAAGCTGGAGCTTGTTTGGGAAGGCCAGGCCTGGGTGGTTTTCCTCCTCTGGTTGTACACACACCTTTCAACCCCCTTAGTCCCGTTTCTTTCATCTTGAAAGGACAAAGACCGGCTTGTCTGAGCCTCTTAATCAGCCGGGCTGGCTTTGGGTTTTGTGGGACAGTCCTGACTTTCTCAGGTTTTGCTTTCTGGAACATCACTCCAAATTAGATGGCGAGTAGCTTTGTAACAGGGCGCGCTGCCCTTGTTTTCTTTCTCTCCGTGTCCCTAAAACTTAAAGAAATTAGTTGGGTGAAGACCCGGACTGCAGTTTGGCAAGACTCATCTGTCGATTGCATCTAAGGTTGACCTATTTCTGCTCTGCACAGGGATAAACTGCCTGTCTCTTCCATTCTGTTGTGGTCCTGGAATTCCTCCCCAGGAGCTGCTTGGGTGTGGGAGTGGGGCTGGGATTGGGGTTGGGGGTGAGGGGGGGGGGGGCGTAGGAACCGTGCCTGGAAGCTGAGTTTGCTGAGAAAGCACATGATTTCTTTTGGATTGCAAATCATATTGATCGGACGTTTTCTAAAGATGTGTTTAGTCTCACACTTCACCTCAGAGTGAGAAAATGTCACTCATCCATATCACACCACTGCCGGTGACCATGCAGGGAACCCGGGGGGGGGGGGGGGGGGGGGGGCTTGGGAGGCCGTTGGTGGAGATCCTGAGGGGCAGTTGACTCCTCACCACCCTCCTCCCCGCACTGATCGCCCGCTGTCCTGCAGGGCCGGAGACCTCTGCCTGCATTCTGAAGGCTTTTGCAGACCTGGTGAATTTGTTCCTCCTCCTCTCCGTAGCCAAACTGGTTTTTGTTCCTATAAGTCCTCGGAATTCAAGCTCTTTGCCAGGCTGATTGGGATCTAAACTAAAGAGGGAACCAGAGGAGAATTTATGACAAAACCAGGTGCTAAGAATGAGGACTTCAGACCTCACCTCATGACAAAGACCAGCCCGAACAATAAAGCCCAGTGCGATGCTGGTGGAGCCCGAGACTCCCATCTTCCCACCCTGGGCCCCTTAAGTTCAAAGGCGAGATTTGTAAACTGGTTTGGATTAACAAGCCCCCTGCCCCCTCTGTGTAGCCTTAATTTTTGGAATTCAAAACAGGCTACCCTCTGCTAAATGGTCCCCAGGCCATGTGAACCCTGTAGACGAATCCCCAGATACCTTAGCCCCTCCCCCCAACCCCATTCTTTCTTGGTAGAAACTCAGCAGCTTCTTCTGGAAACTTCTAAAGAAGCCGCATGAGGGGTGTGCAATGCATGTTTATCTCTGGTTCCAGCCTATGAAGCAACCAACTTCGTTTAATCTTTGAAGCTAAGTTAGAAAGAAAAAAAAAAAGAGAAAGTTGGAAACCTATCATTATTGGACCCGGTGTATAAAAGTGGCTTTTGTGAACGCAGCCGAGGAGCAGCAAGAGGCCTTGCTGTTTGCCTTTTCCTTTGTACCATCTGGCTGTCCTTTTTGTTGACAAGTGTTTGGCATTAAGATCTCTCCTTTTGCCCCTTAAGAACAGGCCCTACCACTGTAGAGTATTAGAAAAAGATTCTGTTACAGTTTAAAAATTTCCTTCAGGGAGTGCTCCGGGAAGGGAGCGGGCTGCGGGCTGTGCAGCTGTAACCTGGCTTGTGTTAAGATTTGGAAGGGGCTGGTCCACATTCCAGCACTCGGAGCGCCGGCCCCGCTGGGAAGCAGCCAGAGGTTAATATAGATGTCACCCAGGCTTTCCCTTCCTTCCTTCTCTCTTTCTGCAGAGAGTCTCCGCTCGAGGAGTGCACCAACAGCTGTGTTTTTAGTAACCCTTTCAAAATCACTTCTTTTAAACCTCATTTTCCTGCTTCTATAAATCAAAGATCTTTCCCCCCCTCCCTTCTCCCTAGGATATATGTGACCCAGATTTGAACTTTTTTGATCTTTGTATGTCTACTCTGGAACCGAAACAGGTTAAGGCAGAGCCCCGGATGCCAGCTTGGGTGGCTATTTTTAGTTTTTATCCCGGGCTTGTCATTCGGCTGGGGAGTGGCCCTCGGAAGGAGTAAAGGAGGTGGCCCCAGATACAAACGGATTTCAGGGCAGCCCGTGAACGCGTGGAGAGAAGAAACTGCCCCTGGGACGCAGCTCCAGCGCGGGGCCTTCTGCCGGGGAGCAGGCGCTCAGCCTCCGCTGAGATAAACACAGCTGGCGCTCGGGGCCCTGACCACCGGAATGCCTGCGATGTGAGCGCGCATCACATGGCCGTGAACTCAGAGACAAGTGATGACTTCATCCCTGGGAGAGTCCATCTGAGTTGATTGATCACCCCCATTACTTTAATTTCTCCCCCTATCGGTAAGGTCATATTTGGCCCATGGCAAGAATCAGCGTGTCCTAACACTCACCCAGCTCCCACCCTTCCCCAGCCTGCCCATCTAACCAGCTGATATTTTGAATGGAGAGTCCTTTGCACCAAAGGTCTGGCCATGTTCTTTCTCTCACCATGGCTCCTCAGACCTGGCTGGGGGCTGTGTCTTTGGCAGGTCGCCGCCCCGCTTCGCCTTAATGCGTTCTGGCAGTGTCGCTGGGGCGAGGGCACAGGCAGGGACGGTGGGGCCTGTCATGCATTGTCAGGAGGAATGTGAGGATTAGCCTTTAAAGTGTGGTGGTGGGAGAGCCCTGCAGCTGTGTACACTTATTATAGAAGATTTAAGTCCCACTGGTAAAATCAATATATTGAATTGCATGACCCTCTGCTTTTAATTAGTTTAAACCAAACGTGCCGGTGTCATTTGCCTCCTCTCGCCTTCATGGGGTGAGGAAATACCAATATTTACATAGAAACTGTTAATGTGTGGTGAAAATGATAACACATTTAGCTTTACACACCCAAATTGCCTGGACTTGATGGATCCCAGATCAGCATGGATCTGCGGGGTGATGTCACCGGGGCCAGGCCAGGGGGCAGGGCGGCTTCTGAGCCTGGATGCCGGATGCAGGTGGGTATGGCTCCCGGTGAAGCGCCTGAGGATGCTAGTCTTGCAAGAAACCAGCCAACTCTTTCATTGT